TTGTACAACTACCTAAGGATAACAAAAATATTTTTAGAAAGGAAGCAGAGAATGACTATGGTCATACTGATGCCATCTACTGTTAGCCAGAAAAAAATGGGAATGCAAGTTGCAGAACCCAAATAAGATGACTAAGTTAAAAAAAATTACTCATTAGATAGTGTGAACTAGATTGCTCCTTATTAATACATTAAGAAGATGTATGAAAACATTACAACCCAATAAGGAAAATATGCGAAACTCCCTACTTGGCTGGAGACTCCTCTTCCAGGGCACCCAGGGTCTCTTCGTCCTCTGAGGCTACTTCCTTTGGGACCGTTAACTCCACAACACTGAAAAACAGCAAAAGACTCTGCAGTCATATGAATGCATTTACATCAATGTTTTTACAAACATACAATCACAAAAACAAATTTTAATGACCCATTTCTTCTTTTTCCATAAAAAGCAGTATTAGGGTTTGAACTTAAGAGCATTGCATCAAACAAGATTTTCCTACTTATGCTTCCTACATAGCTGAGATTACAGATGTATACCCCCATGCCTGGCTTGTTGATATTCAGTCTATTTCCCCAGATAGCCTCAAACCATGATCCTCCCAAGTCTCTAGAGATTACAAGTGAGAATCATTGAGCTCAACATTAGTGTCTTCTTTTCTTTTTTGGGGGGGTGGGGTCCGGTTTTGGGGCCTGAACTCTGGGCCTGGGCGCTGTCCCTCAGCTCTTCAGCTCAAGGCTAGCACTCTAGGACTTGAGCCACAGCGCCACTTCTGGCTTTTTTGTTTTTGCTTATGTGGTGCTGAGGAATTGAACCCAGGGTCTCATGCATTGTAAGGCAACTGCTCTACCACTGAACCACCTTCCCAGCCCCTAGTGTCTTATTCTTAAGGGTTTGCTTTTCGAGGAGTTCTGTATAGATACAGCTGCCACAGCAAAATAAATTTCTTATCCATATAAATTTTCAGAATGTGAAAAGTTCTTTTATAAATAGAAATTTCCATAAATAATCTAAAACTAAGAATGCTATAGGTCAGGCACCAATGGCTCATGTCTATAATCCTAGCTACCCAGGACACTGAGATTAAGAATCACAGTTCAATGCCAGCCTGGGCAGGAAAGTATGTGAGAGTCTTATCTCCAGTTAATTATCAGAAAACTGGAAATGGAGCTGTGGCTCAAAGTGGTAGAACACTAGCCTTTGTGCATTAGCCTAGGCCCTGAGTTCAAGCCCTACAATAACCAAGAGACAGAGAAAGAGAAGGGAGAGAGTGAATGGACTATAAATGAATCAAAACTCTTATTATCGTAGAAAATTCCAGCTACTTAAAGGAACCATAAGCTGAGTACACAGTGTTCATACCTGTAACCCTAGTACTCAGAAAGCAGAGGACTGCAGTTTGAAGTCAGCCCAGGCAACAAGGTCTGTGAGACTCCAGTTAATCAGCACAAAGGAAGTGGATTGGTGGCTCAAGTGGTAGAGCACTAGTCTTAATGACCCAGGTCCTCAGTTCAAGCACCATGATTAGCATGAGAGACAGAAAGACAGACAGAGAGAAAGAGAGAGCACACCATTAATACTCTTTTGTTTCTTTTTTCCATTCCTGGGGCTTGAACTCAGGGCCTGGGCACTGCTCCTTAGCTTCTTTTACTCAAGGCTAGCACTCTATCACTGGAGACACAGCGTCACTTCTTGCCTTTTCTGTTTATGTGGTACTAAGGAATCCAACAAAGAGCTTCATGCTTGCTAGGCGAGCTCTCTACCACTAAGCCACATTCCCAGCCTCAACCCATAAATATTCTTAAACTACAAGTATTAAAAATACTCCCTAAAAAATAAGACTATGTTGGGCCTGGCACCACAGTAAAAGGTAAAAGACCAAGAAACCAACAAAATTCTGGTGCAGTGTGCACACCTGTCACATCAGCTACACAAACATGGGAGCTCTTATTTGGTGGGCTGTGGTCACGGTAGACTGGCCAAAAAGCTACTTTATTCAAACAATGTTGAAAAAGGTTTGGGGGCATGACTCAAGTTACGGAACCTCTGCTTGACTAGTGCAAGGGCCCTGAGTTCAAACCTAGTACTACCAAAGGAAGAAAAAGACCGTCCAAACAAGTTCAGAAAATGGCAATAAGGTAGAAATATATTTTACAAAAAGGATCACATATGATTATAAATATGCTGGTAATAACTAATCCAGCAAAACAAGACTTTGAATTAATTTATATTGTATTTCATTTTAATATACCAACTACAGACTGGAAATGACAGCATAATGAAAATTTAAATTTTAATTCACATGACCTCATTCTTTTCCTTTCTGTATTGACATTTATACTACTTGAACATTACATTTTATGAAGCCCCAGAAAAAGAAATATTGGTAAATTGTTAACATCCATTTGCAGAATTGGATGTGTGGTTCAAGTGACACAGTGCTTGGTCGAACAAGCCAACTTCAATTCCCAACACTGCTGGGAAAAAATCACAGTCACATATGGAACCCAGCATTTTTTTCTACCTAGGTCAGAAAAAAAAGTTTTGAATGATGGCTTTTTAAGGTTTTAAATACATATAAATTAAACTGCATTAATAAAATACATCTCAACTTAAATATTTTGTGTTCTAAGCATGTAGAAACTGCAATCAATTTTTAAAAACCCTTAAAATTAAAGGAAGTACTCTTAAGGAAGGGACCCAAAGGTGCATTGAATGCCTCTGTGTCAGTGAACATATAAAATAATATTTATCGAATGAATTCCAAGAAATGGCAACAAGTTTTCAACATTTTTCACATTGTTGATGAAGATGGTTGTTTTTGCTTTTTGGCCTTTGTTTCTTGTTTGTTTGTTTTTTTTGTCTGTGTGTTCCTTTAGCTGTCTTTGGGGTGTAGGAGGGCACAAAGAAATGGAAGCACCAGGGCTGAACAAAGGCAGCAATGGTACTCAGTAGACACTATCAGGAAAATGACTTGTACAACTATACAATTTGTAGGTAGAGATGGGGGAGGGAAATGGAGAGACAAAGGAAGGGGTGAAATTGCCCCCAAAGAAATATATTCATTATCTGCTTATGAAATAGTAACCCCCCCCCCGGACATCTCTTTAATAATTAAAAACAGGGACTGGGAAGGTAACTCAGTGTTAGAGTGCTTGCCTTTCATGCGTGAGACCCTGGGTTGGATTCCTTAGCACCACATAACCAGAAAAAAAGCCAGAAGTGGTGATGTGGCTCAAGTGGTAGAGTATTCACCTTGATCTGAAGAGCTGAGGGACAGCACCGAAGCCTAGAGTTCAGGCCCACGTTGGACCAAAAAAAAAAAAAAAGACAAACTCTTATTACAAAGCCCAGGCTGCATCCTACAACCCTCCTGCTCAACCCCAAGTTTTAAGATTACAGGTATGGATAACTACACTTAGCTGGAACAGTTTTCTGGTAATACTGGGATTTAAAAAAAACTCAGCCCATTAAGCTTTCTAGGCTTGTGCTGCATCAATTAAACCATACACCTAACCCAGGGCTCCAACTTTTGAAAGCCCTTTGGGGATTCCTTCAGTGACACCCAGGTACATACACCCCCGGGGAAGGCAAACACGGAATTTTGGGCTCTATTACACTTGCTCACTTAACTCAGGCCCTCCTAGAGACATTGCCAGAAGACTTAGTGAAGCCACTGGTTTACAGTAGAAATTCCCCATAGGAGAGAACACTGGGAATTTTTAGAGGCACTTCTGTTTGACACAGAAGAGCAGTAGCCTGTGCTTGTGCCTGTGACTGACACATGTTAGGTAGAAGCTGAACACCCCAGAGTTCACAAGCAAATTCACAGAAGCCACAGACCAATATAACAGTGGGAGCTGAGGCCCTTGTGGGCCAGCAGCCAGCATCTACTCCATCCCTCCTCCTATGCATGATCTTTGTTTCTTCAGTCCAACTACATTGAACACATCTCCGCCTCTCTCACTGTTATCCAGGGGATCCTAATTCTAACTTTCACCTTCACCAACCTTCAGCTGCCACTTCCATGCCAAGTCTAAACCTCTGGCAGAGTAAGGTAGACCTACCCCATAGGGATGACAGGTGTGTCAGGGGCCCAGGCACATCCACTCCACCTTTCAAGAGCACCGACTGTATCCCAAAGAAATTTCACTTTCTTTCTCTTTACACATGCCAAAGCATGATAAACTATGTGCTTCCACCTCCACCTCAAGGGGTCTTTAATGAGGAAGAACAAGGAAGAATGAAGGAGAAGAGAAATGGAAGAAGGCAAGACACTCATTCACACTTGGAGCCCAGCTTCCCCAGCCTTGTCCTCTGTTTCTCACTGCCACTCAGGGAGCTCCATGGAAAAAGGAACAATAATATCTGGAAAGGACACTGCCAAAGCCAGGCATCCGATGGACAGTATACAGCCAAAGCCAGGCAGCCGACAGGATACAGCCAAAGCCAGGCACCAGGCCAACAGCCCTGTGGTCATGAGAGCCCCTCTCTGATACAGCACTACGTCTCTGGTGCCAACTTGCAGATTGCATACAATGAACAATGAAGAACAACACAGTTTAATTCAGGTTCCAGAATCCCCTGCCTCTACCAGCTAGGCCACAAATCCTCAGATATTTGCATCAACTAAAGACTTTTTAAGATAAAGTTTGCCAATTTCTTAAGTGACCAGTAATCACACAACTGTCAACTATCACTCATAGAAATGGTTTAACACCAAAAAGAATATAGAGGACTTCTCCTCAGAAGACAGGGCTTGTCAAGAAGGGTAGTTTACAATACAGAGCTCTAAGGAACACTTACTCCATCACTAATCAGGCCAGTTCACAGAAACCTCTTCTGTTCCCTTGCTCATCTGCTTTAGGACGTCACTGCAGAATGGCTCCAGACATGGAGGGGAAGGTGATAGGAAGAGGAGCTGAAGGCAAAGCCAAGGAGAGGTATGGTACAGTAGTCAGTGCAGTGGTACCCAGGACAGTGGAGGACCCCTCCCCTCCTACAGGCCCAGTGACCTAGTCTCAACTGGGACTGAGCCCACACACCCCAACCCCAGCCCTAGAATCTGGACTCCTCCAGAAGGCCTGCCCACTTTGTAAGCATTCCCAAGAACTTGAAGTTAAACAGAACTCAAGTCAGGGCAAATGTATAGTTGGAATCACTGCACAGTACACAAATGGCCCCCATATGTTGATGCAGTGAAATGCCCAGTACTGCTTCTCCGCCCTGATTTCTCACAGTGCTGATGGAAACCTATGCTTACAAAATATCCTCCTCATGAAAGAGGAAGACACACTGATGCTCTTCCTCTCAGTCTCTCCAAGAACGTCATCAGCATCCACTAGTCCATGTGTGGGAGCACAATGTTGAGCATTCAACCAGGAGGAGAGCAGTCACTAGGAGAGGATATGCACCAGGAGGAGAGCACTCACTCACCAGGAAATGAGCACTCATGAGGAAAAGAGCACTCACCAGGGTGAGGAAACCTTTGTTACAAAGATATACAGCATTCCCTGGCCTCCTACAATCACCCCAAATATGTCAGTATACCAGGATGAAATCTGGAGGACAGATAGCTGTCTCAATGACATAGGATGGGAACAAGCCCTACTTAGGCCAAAGTGTCTCCCTAGACATCACCCTTAACAGTCTATCCCTCCGGGCTGCTTACCTGAGCTATTCAGGACTTGACCAGGTCTCTCTGTGCCCAGGTATCTACCCAGACACCTCACAGGGCACACACAGTTCACATGCCTGTTCTGCTGCTACTGCATCTGTAGAGAACCTGGAACAGAAGTGGAAAAGTCCTTCCATTATCTAAAAAATGAAGTTCAAATTCCTCATGCTGGAAAAGATGGTAGTGTTTCTCCCCAAGTCTTCCGTGGCCAACATCCTTCTGGAAGGCAAAGAAAAATCAGAGCCAACCTCCCACACCCCATCAAATGTCTCAGACAGTAGATTTTTGAATAACCTCTTCCCCTAAATGCCCTCTGAGCCCACAGGCACAATCTCCACAGTTATTTGAGCCAGAATTGTCAGTTTCCAAAGGGAAATGAGGCATACAAGCATATCACCAAGTCCATGTGAGAGCCGGCCTGCATGCAAGCACAAAACGGGCCATAAGAAGAGATGGTCAGGGCTGGGAAGGTGGCTTAGTGGCAGAGCGCTTGCCTTGCATGCATGAGGCCCTGGGTCCGATTTCTCAGCACCACATAAGCAAAAAAAAAAAAAAAAAGAAGAAGAGGTGGTCAGCAACCTGGAACAAACCCCACAGGATCATCCACAACAAGTATGGCCTCTGGAAGTCAGAAACAAGGCATGTAAGGGCAGGATAAGGGCCATGGTTAAACATGAACAACAGCCAGTCCACCACTCCTTCTGACTTACAGCTACACATCCATGATCAACAAGCCTCACAAGAACTAAACCTCAGATGAAGATTAAGGACATTCCAGCACACAGGGAAGTCTTCAAGATTCAAGGATATGTACACTGAAATGTTTCTAATCCAAGAAAGAGAATTAGAACAACGATCAAAGCAAAGGAATTCATACTGCTGACGCACTGAATGGCATTACCACTTAAATGGTATTACATCCTAAAAATGGCCACAACAAATAATAATTGACACAAGGATCAATCTTCCCAAGAAAAGTGATTTTTGTTATTGCTGTTTAGTCAAAGGCAATCTTGTATGCCTAATTTATGGCTCTGTGTTAACAGAAATGGAAAAAGCCAATCTGGGGCATAATTCAAGCTAAAAGCAGGCTAAACAGAGGTAGAAGTAGAGAACAAAGAACAGAGGTAAGGTCAGATGTATAAGGTCTTGCAGCCATTGTAGGATCTGGTCATTCCTTCCTGCTATCTTTGATAAATCAATGAAAACATTCAGAAGGCAAAAGAAGGTAGGCTAACCAGCAAGCTTAGAGTAAAATACAAAGAATCTTGCCCTAAAATCTTCTTTCACCAGGATATTTCAAAAGATTTTAAAAATTGGACTACTTTGAGTAAGATAGCTCATTCCTGTAATCTCACGTCTTTGGGAGACATAGGTAGAAGGAAGGGGGAAGTGAGAACCTATCAGAAAAATAAAGCAGAAAGAGCCAAGGTGGGAGTTGTGGCTCAGAGGTTGAAGTACCTGTATACCAAGGGCAATGCTCTGGGTTCAAACCCCAGTACTCCAAAAAATTAGAATAAATAAGCCAGGCACCCCATAATCCAAGCACTCAGGAAGAAGAGGCAGGAGGACAGCTAGTCCAAAGTCCAGCCTAAGGCACACAGCAAGAACTGTTCTCAAGATAGTTAAGAGAATAATGTGTTTATCTCTGAATTCCCCATTTAACAAGGGCTTTAGCATCAGTTCCCCATACACAGCACAAAAAAAAAAAATGAGAGGAGAAGAGAGGATGGCCACATTAATGAATACATGTATGTGGCCAGAGGCAACGGAACTCTGTCACCCTGCCCCCCACTTCTAAGCCTAAATCCATTCAATTGTCAAGACAGGATGGGAACCACATTTACAGTCCTCCTCTTCTACACAATGTTGACACCTTCCTAGGGTAACCTACCAGAACATAACAATATATGTTCAACTCCTGGGAACCTGATCCCTCCAGTCTAGCAACGAGGTGCCAGGGCAGGCTGCGCATGCACATCAACTCACATATCTTGTGGCTGCTCCTGTCCACTGCCAACTACCCAAGGCATTTCCTCAGCAGCACACTGGGAGTTAGGCACACTGCCCCCCTAATGTAGCACAGAAATGAGCCCAGTGTAGCAATGACCTCAGGAGGAAAGTGAGTTCAAGGATGGCCTGGGATTGATTGAGACACTGTCTCATTTCTCAAAAAAAAAAATGTCTTTCAGAGAAGATATGGCCAGGAAGCCTGCCACAGCCTGGCCACACCAATACCGTCATGAGTCTACCTACTTGAGAGAAGCTCCCAGTGGGCCACCTTGAACCCCAAGGGAACTCCTTCAAGGTGGAGTGCACAGCTCAGAACATGCTGAGCCTCTAATGGGGGTAATGCAAATGGCAGCGTGTCTGAGCAGACCAGGTCTAGGGGCTGAGGTCCGGACATGGTCTGGGTGAGGGGCCAAGAGCCAGCTGGCTGAGGCTGGGAAAACCCCAAAGCGAGGGGCCAAAGTCTGCCAGGCCTGGTTTTAGGGAGGTCAGGGGCCAAGGGCCAGAAAGATACTCAAGGCAACCTAGGCAGAGGGGCTGGGATCCAGATAGGGTCTTGGGCCACCCAGGGTGAGTGGCCCAGGGCTGGCTGGCAGGATCTGCAGGCATCTCGAGATGAGTGAACAACAGGGGCCAACAGGGGTCCCCAGGCAGCTGGGCTGAGGGGCTGAGGGCCAGTCTGGGGTCTCAGGCAGCTGGGACAAGGGGACAGGGTTCCCGGGAAATCTATGAGGAGGGGTGCAAGGCCAGTCGGATTCAGGAACAGCCATGCCAGGTCCCAAAGTCAGCCTCTTACTTTCCTTCCCAGGACCAGTACTCTACTGCAAGCACATGCCATGTTCTCCATGTATAGTCCACTGTGCATCAATACTCCACTGCATGTTCATGTCATGTTCTCCATGTACAGTCCACTCTGTGTAAATACTCCACTGTGTGCACAAGCCATGTTCTCCGGGTACAGTCCACTGTGTGTAAATATTCCACTGTGTGTACTTGCAGTGTTATTGGTGTACAGCACACTGGTGTAAATTCTCCACTACGGGCACAAATTGTGTTCCCTGTGTCAAGTCCATTGTGTGTAAATACTCCACTGTGTGCTCATGCCATGTTTTCTGTGTACAGCCCATGATGTGTCAATACTCCACTGTGTACACATTTCATATTCTCCGTGTACAGCCCATGGCATGTAAATACTCCATTGCAGTTACATGTGGTATTCTCTGTGTACAGTCATCCGCCAAGGAGTCCTTAGGATGCTTCCAGCTACATTGATTATGCTGAACAATGTTGTACGAACATAGGTGTGTCTGTCCCAGCCTTCTACTGTTGGTATTCACTTGGGAGATAGAGGTGCATAACATCTCCCTGAACCGCCATTTGTGGAACAAGCCTCTGCTCTGTAAACCTCTGGGACACTCTACACACATCACCTCTTGGAATCTAGCACAATCAGAGAAGTTTCTCTTTAAGTATTTATCCCACTTATTTACTGGGCAGTTGTTTCTTTGAAGATTTGTTGTTTGGGGATTTAATTTTTTGAGTTCCATGTATATTTTAGATATGAGATCCTTGTCTCTTGTAAGGATAGTGAAGATCTTCTCCCAATCCGTGGGTTTTCTATTAAGCTTGATAGCTATGTCTTTTGCCATTCAGAAGCTCTGCAATTTCATGTAATCCCATTTGTTGAACCTTTCTTTGATTTGTTGGGTTTCTGGGTCTCTATTAAGAAAATTTCGGCCTGTGTCAAGGAGTTCTAGGGTTTCTCCTATTCCATTCTGTAATGTTTTCGGGTTGTCTGCTTTGACTCCTAGGTCTTTGATCCATTTGGAGTTGATTCTGGTGCAGGGAGATATATAAGGATCTAGCTTTAGTTTTCTACAAGTAGTTAACCAATTTTGCCAGCACCATTTACTGAAGAGACTGTCTTTCTTCCATTCGATTTTTTTAGCTCCCTTATCGAAGATTAGATGGCTGTAGGTCTGACGGTTCATTTCTGGGTTTTCAATTCTATTCCATTGGTCCTGAGGTCTGTTCTTGTGCCAGTACCAAGCTGTTTTGATTACTATGGCTTTGTAGTAGAGTTTGAAAATTGGTATTGACATTCCTCCAGCACTGTTCTTTCTTTTGAGGACCATTTTAGCTATTTGGGGTCTTTTATTGTTCCATATGAATTTTTGGAATTGCCTCTTCTATTTCCTGGAAAAATGAGGATAGCATATTGGCAGGTATCACATCGAACTTGTAGACAGCTTTGGCAAGTATTGCCATTTTTACGATAATGATCTTTCCAATCCAGGAGCATGTGAGTTTTTGCCACTTTCTAAGTTCTGTTTTGATTTCCTTTTTCAAGTTTTTAAAGTTTTCATCATATAGGTCCTTCACTTCTTTGGTTAATTCCTAGGTATTTTATTTTTTGTGGGACTATTACGAATGGAGCTGCTTTCCTAATTTCAGCCTCAGCTTTCTCATTGTTGGCATACAGAAAAGCCATTGATTTTTGAGGGTTAATTTTATACCCTGCTACTTTGACAAAGTTTTGAATCAGTTTGAGTAATTAGGGAGTGGAGTCTGTGGGATACTTTAAACACAAGATCATGTGGATGGCCAAGACACATGAAGAAATGCTCAATCTCCATAGCCATAAAAGAAATGCAAATCAAAACAACATTGAGATACCACCTCACCCCAGTTAGAATGGCTATAGTCAAGAACTCTAATAACAACAGATGCTGGAAGGGATGTGGACAGAAAGGAACCTTACTGCATTATTGGAGGGAGGGAGTGTAAACTTGTTCAACCACTTTGGAAAGCTGTATGGAGGTCCCTCAAAAGACTCCACACAGAACTCCCCTATGACCCAGCAATCCCACGTTTGGGCATTTACCCAAATTATCTCAAACAAGGCCACACTAAAGCTACGAGCACGACTATGTTTAGTGCAGCATTATTTACATAGCTAAGATATGGAACCAAAGCATATGCCCCTCAGTAGATGAATGGATCAACAAAATGTGGTAGATATACACAATGGAATTCTAAGCCACTTGAGCAACAAGCTGAGTTGTTTGTTGACTTTGCTGTTTTTCCCTGGTTATTACAATAAAGGGGACATGCATTGGCAGATCCTAAGACAGGCAGAGCTGGTACTCAATCTTCACAGGGCAGCTTTTTATCTTACCTACAACATTCCTTGCAAACCCAGGATCTTTTGTTACCCCCTACTGACCTCATGCTCACTCGCTCCACATTTTTAATGTTGCTAGTGAGAGAGTGAAATAAAGGAAAACTAGAGGACCAACATGTTCATGTCTCAAGAACCCTGGTATAGAGCTCAGAACCAGATTGCACAGTTCAGCCAGGCATCAACATGCCACCTCACTAGGGGGCAGCAGATGAACTGCACAGGGAATCTTAGCAAATGAAATAATAAACTGGGTCCCAGTAGTAAAAGGGGCACTCTCTGCTCACAGTAGCACTGTCAGTGTAAGGCAGAGAGATAGGGATTTTATGGAAAGGGGCAGTAAGTGTTGCTGCTAGGCAGAGCGAAGGCCCAGCTTGCTTTGTCTTTTCTTCTTCCAGTTGGGGCTGACTACCCCCCAAATGCACCCCCTGGCCCTCTTCCCACCCTGTGCCCTTGGGCTCATAAATTCCTTCCCAAGAGTATTTTCAGGATATAGAGTTCAGGATGCACCTGCTGTGTGTGTGTGTCATTATGTCTCCCTAAGACATACTAACATTTTGGTGGTTACAAAGGAATAATTGATGTCCTCATTGATGTTATTATAATCCAGTAGTTCCAACCAGGAGTACTTCCTTTGTTCCCTCAGGATGCATTAGGCAAGATGCAATCACTTTTGATTGTCACGGACTTGTGGGAGGAGGGGAGCTGCTGGATTATCTTGAAGTCTGAGACAATGCTCATCATTTCCATTAGATGCAGTCAGACATTGGACTTTGAATAAAGAGTATTCTGAAAGTACAAACAACATAAAAAGAGAAATGTACTCATTCTGTTTCCCATGTAACTGCAACCCTTGCCTACAGTATTAAAAAAAAAGTTCATCATGCACTGTAGCAGGTGAAGCACTGGTTTGGAAGGACAGAAACATTGCAGGCTCCAAGCCCATAACCCAGGGTGATGCAGTCTATAGTCTGGAAGGGAGGCCAGAAATACTCTGTGTATGGCCTTCCTTCTCCTGGGGCCACAATGTAACAGGAAGAGGCAAAAGTGTGTACCTCAAACTTGGGTATGCAGTTACAATCACATAATCCCAAAAATCCACCCGGGGATTGTTTCCCAGATATGAGGAAAAAGGCCCACCTGCCGCAAAATTGGGATATCTAGGATGACAGTACATTGGCCTAGAGGGAGGAACCATCAACATGGAAGACCACAAAGTGAAGAATAGGTAATTGAGCTCCCCCTCCGGGCAGTCTTACAAGCCCTGGTCTTCCTTCTCCTGGGTCTAATGCTGCACCTGCCTGGCAACTCTGGCATCATCTGCATGCATTCCACTTAACACATGTACACATGCATACAATCTCTCACCAGCAATTTGTTCCCTCAATGGTAGAGTGGAAGGGCAGCCACTATGTCAAGTCATGGGCATGAGAAATGTTGGTTGGAGAGGACAGTAGCATCCACAGTTCCAGTCCTATAAGCTTGGGCTACAGAGATCATAGTTGGTGGTGAAGTCAAGTGGGGGAGGAGAGAAACTCCAAGATCTGACCTCCCTTCTCTTGGTCCCCTAGAGCATCTCCAGGTAAATCTGGCATCATGTCTGTGTGTTCGTGTGAATGTGTACACAGGGGCACAACCCTTCACCCAAGATTAGTTACTAAGTAGGGGTGATGTGGCCCACTTACCTTGAAACAGGGGCATGTGGGATGGCACTGTCACCTGGGAAGACACAGACCAGAAAGATGGAAATGTACCAGGTGAGGATGAAGAGGTCCATGGCAGAACCTCTTTGTTCTAGTTAAAGCTGTAGTGGTTGGTGATTGTGGCAGCATCCCCAGCTCTTGTCCAATAATCCCCAGCTAAACAGACCACAGGTAAGAAAGGAGGTGGGGCAGATGTTATAGAAGCCTGGGAAGAGCAGCTGGGACCAAATTATCTTTAAAAAAGGCTGTTCTGAAATACCTCCCACAAGGGGAAGAGAAATGAAAAAGCAAGGAATGAAGGAGAGGGGCTCATGTACCTCATGGAGTTATCTGAGAATAGCTCACACAGCTGGGCCCACATTGAACAGTAAGGTCATGTGGTGAAGCTGAAGGTCCATCAGGTTCCCCCAGTGGCTGTTGCAGGCATAACACCGCTTGAGAGAGGGAGGCAAGGGCTACACCTTAGGCCCCATAAATGCCAGTGGACATGGGGAAAACAAAGAACCCAGAAGCTCTACAAGCCATAGCTTGGAGGAGATGAGGGGCAAACTCTGAGCCATGGTCTTCCTTCTCTGTGGCCACCACAACTGGATTCAGACCATTCTGGCACCACTTCTGTGTGTTGTGGATGGACACATGCACATCCTCTCACCTGAACATGTTTTCCCAAAGAAGAGGCTGAGCCAGGAGGTGGACATGGAAAAAAGGTGTTGGGTAGGGCAATAGGCTCAGAGATGAGTTGGGATAAGGGCAAGCAGGGAAAGGGCACCAGCTGGGAGGAGTTAGGCCCCACTTACCTTGATTCAGGGCTGTCCAGGGATGGTTCCTGCAGATGGGTCCAAACTGACCAGGAAAGTGGAGGTCCTCCATGGTAACGATGAAGAGACACCAATATTAGCTCCAGTACCAGCAGATGCAGTTGGAACTGAGCAACCAAGCATGCTACAAGGCCATAGGTGAAATTGTGGACAGGGAAGATTCTGATTCTCTGATTTCCTTCTCCAATGACTGTGGCCTTGGTTCAGTCCAATTGCATCATTTACCTATGTGCATGCCCACGCACATCCCGTCAGACAGGAGGGGCTTGGATGGAGAATGGGTGGGAGTGGGTGGCAGGGGAAGGAAGGGATGGGGACGGAATGGGGAAAGCAAAGGGTAGGGGAGGAACTGGGGTGAGGAAGCATAGTTTGGGGTGGGCAGGAGAAACAATTGGTTGTGGGAAGACGTGGAGGAGCAGATGGGTAAGTGCGTAGTGAAGAAGGGCACACTGGTGGAGAACCTAGCAATAGAAAGGGGGAGAAGAAGACGAGTTCAGCCCACTTAATATTTAAGAGCCCTGTCCCAGGGATGGCTCCTGCTGGGGGGGCAGAGGAAAGAATGGAGAATAGGGCAATGGAGAGTGGCAAGAGGACTGTGGGTCACTTACATTAAATCTGGGTCTTTGGTGATGGCTCCAACAGTTAACTCCACAGTGGCATTGAAAGTGGAATTCCGCTGGCTGGTGAAGCCTAAGAGGCACTGGGGGACCATGTCCCTGCAATAGAGGCAGCACCAGTTGGGAGAGGTGGCAGCTTCCTCAGCCCCAATGCCTCCAGCAGTTTCTTCATAGCAATAGATGACAACTGAGGCCATGACTAGGAGGGGATAGGGATGAACTCTAAGCCCCTATTTTCCTTCTATAGAGGAGGTTCATCACCTCACCCACGAATCTTCCTACACTAAGAAGGATGGGGCCCGGTTGAAGGTGAGGTTCTGACCAACGGGGGTGTGGAGGAGTCGATTGGGGGCATTGGGTCACCATTACCTTGAAACTGAGTCTTCCAGGGTTGACTTTGGCAGCTGGGTCCACACATCTCTAACCCAACAAAGGTTTGTGGGGCACTTGAGGGTCAGGGAACTGGGCACGGTGGCCCAGGTGGTGATGAAAGAGGAAGCCTGGCAGGGGATATTGGGACCTAGGAAGAGGGTATGTGCACACTTCAGTTGAAACCTGGCTGAGACGGGAGGCTCCCACAGGGGAGCAGAGAAGAAAATTGAAAAGAGAGAGGTTTAGGAAGGGAGGCTCTCTCACCTCAAATCAGGGCCATCATGGGATGGTGCTCCCAGATGGGCCCACCCTGAGTAAAAATGGAGGTCCATGCAGTGAAACCAAGATCTCTCAGGAAGGCGCAGCACTGGTTGAGGAGATGGAGGCGAAGTCTGCATCTTTAGCCCTGCAACTTTCAGTGAACTCAGGTAAACCAGAGAGCCCTGGGGCTGTCCAGGCCTTAGCCAGGCAAGGAGGAGGGGCAGACTCTGAACTGGGCCTTCCTTCTCTGTGGCAGCAATACCTCACGTTTGGAACATTCTGGCACCTGGCATTAAGTAGTGAGTGCTGGGCATGTGCATATGCCCCATTCCATGCATGTGTTACCATGGGATGGGTGGGGCCAGACTGTGAGGGGAAAGAATTGGGACCGGAAGGGGTGGGGCTGGAAGGGGTGGGGCCAGAAGGTGGGAGTGGAGGTAAAAGTTTTGGCTGTGAGAGGGGCTGAGTCAGAAGAATGAATGGAACCCTGAGGGGTACCTGGCCTCAAGAAGAGGACTGTCCAAAAGGGGGAGTAGGGCACATAGCATGGTGGTAGGCTGGGGAAACATGGGGTGATGATGGGCCAGTGGGTGGTGGTGGAAGGTGATATGATGGGGTGGAGAGGTAATGGACAAGGAACCTAGCAGAGTGGAGGAGTGGATAGGGGAGCAAGAAGAGAGGTTAAGCCCACTTAACTGGAAACAGGGCTGTCCAGTATGGCTGTCTCCATGTGCTATGCTGTATGCTATGCCCATCTGTGCTCTGTCAGGGGTAAGCCCAGCTGGTTAGAGTCTTCATGCCCCACTATCCCACAATCTAGACTAAAGGAAAGAAACTCCATCGAACTATTCATCTGGCAGGGCAAAATTCTCTGGGGCCCTAGGAAGAGGTTTATAGTGAAGACCTGTTGGTAGAATGGGCCACATCTGGGGTAACAGATTCATATCACCCATACCTATGGGGCATAGTTAATGTATGAAAGGCATTCAAGTGATAGGTCCTTTTTTTCTTTTCCTTTCTGTTTTTCCCTTCCTTTCATTTACCTCTTTGTTGCTCCAGTACTGGGGCTTGACACAGCTTCTAGGGCCTAGAAGTTCCCTGCCCAAGGGCCTATTTTTGTTCACCTCCTAGACCTGCATCTTCCTGGTCTCTGACACACCCAGGTGCAGGTACCATGGCCAGATGCCCACTTTCAAGACAAGTAGGCCCTACCAGCCTTCTCCCTGGAGGAAACAACAGGAGGATTAAGGGGTTTGTGCTTTTGTTTGTGTATTCACATGAATATTTCCTTCCATCAGTGGGACAGTTCTAAGTACTTAAAGTCTTACTGAACTTCATCTATAAATCATTTGAAAATGGAGGCACGGGAACAGGAAGGGGAAAAACACCCAAACAAGAAAACAAAAGACATATCCCACAAACACTGGATACATACAAAGATGAATGTACATACTGAATGAAGGCAAGTAGGACTCAACCTAACAACATTTTACCAAATGTCTTATATTTGAATGGTGAGAGCTCCACTGAGGGAGATGTCAAAGAAACCAGGCTTTATGTTCAAGGATGCTGGCAATATTTAATCATTTGCTCAAGAAGGGGAGATCAATTACTATGGTACTTCGATTTTGTTCAATCCAATTACCATGTTATAAAAATAGCAAGCTGTCATGATAAAAAGAAAATAAGGCTCCTGTACCCAGCACCAGTTATCTTTAGTTTACTTCCAAGCCATAT